TGAGATCATGATCTGAGCCAAAGTCCGACGCTCAACCCACTGAACCACCCAGGAGCCCCCACCTCTCTCTCTTTTAAAGAAATAAAAATACAGGCCCAGTGAAAGAGTTGAGACCCCCCATGTAGCCAGCCTTTCCAAATTCAATCTGTTTCTTCCTTCCCCAGATCAAACCCCACTGTGAAGTTTGTATAGGTCTTACCTGTCAGAGATAACTTTACGAATTCACTGGTTCTGCCTCCTCTGAGGGCCCCTTAGTTCAGCTGTGATCTGTGTACTACTAGCTTTAGGGATCACTGGAGGTGATGCTTGTGAAAAATATAGCTCCCAGGGTTCCAACTCTTGAGATCCTGTTTCAGTAAGTCCAGTGTGAGGCCTGGTCACCTTCATCTTATTTATTATTATTCATTTCACTTCCATTTAAAAAAGCATGTCAGGTACAAATCAAAACCACAATGATATAGTATTTCATAGCCACTAGAATAAAAAGTATGGACAAATTAGAACACTTATACATTTCTGGGGGGAATAGGAAATTGTGCAGCCATTTGGAAAGCAGTTTGGCAGTTCTTCAAAAAATAAAACTCAAAGTTACCATATGACCTAGCAATTCCACTCCTGGTTATTCACCCAAGAGAAATAAAAGCTGGCGTCCACACCAAACCGTATACGAATGTTCACAGCAGCATTATTCAAGTGCACAAAGCACCTACTCCCTTTGGATGCCTTCTAGCACACCCAGGTGACCTATGTAAGAAGTTTCTCTGATATACGTAAACAGAATTGATTACTCCACATATAACTTCTTCAGGATGGAGGACTGAAGTCAGCATGGACTTTGGAGTCAGACCTGGAATCCAATCCAATTTATGTTGTTTGCAGCTAGGAAAACAAATGGGAAAAATACTTATGCTGCATGGTTTCTTTCCCATTCTGCTCATCAAATACCAAAAGTTATAAAATCTTGTTATAATTTGCTAAATCAGATTCAGACTCAGATAGAGAGATCCTAAACTTAAGCAGGAGACAATCTAAATCACCTCATTTAACTCTTTGTTGTAAAGCCAGTCAATAGATCACTTTATTCTTTGTAGATAAAGACTACATTTATTCATTTGTTATCTCTGGAAACAATAAAGAGAATATTATAACTAAAGTGTTGGCTTCCTGATTCAGTAAGTGTTTTTTATTTATGGTAATTAATAAAGACATATGGGTGCTTAAATCCATGGCTATAATTCTTAAACTCTAGAGTGTATTTATTTTTATTGTTTTTATTATAAAATACTTAACTATACAAAGAAGTGCAGAGAATAAGATCACAAACCCTCCACTGCTCCGTTTTATGAGAATTCTTACTATGCTTGCCAGATTTCACTTAAAAAAATAAGCATTCCAAGCCTATAGTTATAGAATCTCTACAACTAGTAAGCCAACACCAACTCATTTAGAATACCAACCTAAATTATACTAAACGTAAAGTGAAAAATAGCTGTGGAGTTGAAATTTAAGATTCTAGTCCATCCTTGGTAAGAAATGTAGTGGAAGATCACATCAGCATTGACTGGAGACTGTCCAAGGAGGGTTGCTTGTTGCCTCCTGGTTCCTGTGTCCTTTCATGGGGTCTACTTCCTCATCTGTGGTCCCTGCCATCCTACTCAGAGAACTCAAGACCTAATGAAAATCAGGCCACAGGCTGGGCTGGGCCAATCAGACTCTCCTCCTTTAGAGAATTTGAGTGTCAAGATACAGATATTCCAGGCTTTCCTCTACATCAACACTAGTTGTTATGAGAGCAAATCGTAAAGTGCACATCTCACCTCCATGCTTTAGAAATCTGTCACCTATTTTTGAACTTCCTTAGCCTAAGACAATCTTGGCTAATGGCCTCTGTCATTCCCTCCTCTTCCTCCAGCACCCAACACTCTAATCACTACGGGGTGGATTAAAGATGACCTCAAATTTTCTCCCAGTCCTCCCACCCAGAGGTAGAATGCCCCTAGAGGTCTCCTCCCCTTGCATCTGGGGAGACCCTGTGACTTGCTTTAATTCAGCACAAGGTAGAGAAAACAGAGCTGTGACCTCTGCATGCAGTACTCCCTCCTGGATCCCAGTCACCATGCTGTGAGAAGCCCAAGCCATGTACGGAGATCACGTGGAGAGGATCCTTGATGCTCAGGTCAACAGCCTCAAGCTGAACGGCCAGCTGCCAGCCACATGAGTGAGTCATTTTGGACATTTCTGGCCAGTTGGGCCTCCAGATGACTGCAGCCCCTGCCAACACCACTTTGGAGCAGAACTGCCCTACAGAGCTCAGTGAATCATAGATCACGAGAGACAGTAAAATGCTGTGGTGATCTCCCATATACGTATCTCCTATTATTAACCTTAACTCAGTACCTTTGTCACAATTAATGAGCCAATATTGATACATTAGTATTAGCTAAAATCCACACTTTATTCTGATTTTCTCAGTTCTTACCTAATATTCTTATTCTTTTCTAGATTCTCATCCAGGATATTGCATTACATTTTGTCGTCATGTCTCCTTAGGCTCCTTTTGGCTATGATGGTTTCTCAGACATATCTTGTTTTCCCTTGATAGTCCTGAGGGTAGTCTTGGTCAGGGGTTTTGTAGGACATCCTTCTATCAGGATCTGCCTGACGTTTCTCTCAGGATTAGGGTGGCGTAATGGGTTAGGGGAGGAAGACCACTGAGGTAAGGTGCCAATTCAGCACATCACATCATGGGTCCATCCTGTCTATAACCATGACTTATCCCGTCGATGCAGACCTTGACCACCCAGCCAAGATGCTGCTGGTCAGCCTCCCCACTGTGTGAAGCCACACTTAAGGAAGGGGAAGTTATGCTCCAGATCCTTGAGGGTGAAGTAATCTACATGAATTCACTGGAATTCTGCCCAGGAAACTGAGATAGTGGTTTTAAGGCACTAATTTTTGGTGTGGTTTAATACACAGTAAGATATCTAAAAAACACACTCAAACCTTTTCACCACCTCCTACTGGACTTCATGAACAGTTATATGTGCTACATATGGTTCATTCTGCTTAAATGCCCTTCCTATTTCTACCTACCACTCACCAGCCAACAAAAACAAAGAACCTCTAATTTTTCCAACAAAAACCCAAGTGCTTCTTTCCAGAAGGAATTCATTGCTCTGACCCAGCTCCCAGTACCACACAGTTAATACTATTGTCACCCTTATGCTATGTTACCTCCCTCAGTAAGACTAAAAGTTTCCAACATGCAGAGACCCTGCCTTATGTACCTCTGCATGCCACCTGGGACACCATCACATACTAGGTGCCCCGTAAGTGTTTGTGAATTAAGGAGTGCCTGGGTGGGTCAGTTGGTTAAGCATCCAACTTCGGCTCAGGTCACAATCTCATGGTTCGTGGGCTCGAGCCCCACATCGGGCTCTGTGCTGACAGCCAGCTCAGAGCCTGGAGCCTGTTTCAGATTCTGTGTCTCCCTCTCTCTCTGACCTGCTCATACTGTCTCTCTCTCTCAGAAATAAATAAAAAACATTAAAAAATGTTTTGTGTTTGTGAATTAAATAATTAACTGAATGACTATAAAGGTATATCATTTTTTATAATACGTCAATTTAAAAGAATAAAAGAGATGACATAAATAAGTAGCTATAGTCCAAAATGCATCTGTAAATCCACACTAGAATTGGAACCGCCCAGGTAACGCACAGCTGTTACAGTGTACAATACAGACCAGGTACTAAGGAAACTGATCACTGCATTCAGTGAGTCAAAGCCACATGTAACAGACAAAATAGTATCTGCTTTCAGATCCGTGTGAAAACATGGGCACATAAATACTAAATAAATTAGATGGATGAGTCTCTTTCTAAGGGAATCAGGCCAATGAAGTACATTTCCTCGCCTTTGGATTTCCTGATATGTCATCAAAGACTTTTTACAGAACATAATTTTCATATTTAACTTCTAAAGTGTGGAACAATAAGGCAGATTCATGGGTAACTGTGTTAGTGCTATTCAATTGTCTCTCTTACGTACACAGCAGGGAAATTAAATAAGCCCTGAAGGGGTCCTTGGGAAAATGTAAGAAACAGCCAGTGTGCCTCCAAAGGATTCAAGGGCTTCTGAGGTTTTACATTAATAATAACTCTGTCAACTTGTCTTCTTTCAGTATTTACAATAGCGGCTTTTACTGAAACAGCAGAAGTCTCTGCGAGAAAGTGATTAGGTCACACAAAATTGCATTCTAGTGACCAGAGGGAAAAAGGCCTCCCACAGAGGGGACCAGCAGCCCTGGCAGCAGCAGAAAGACTCCCCTCTTTCTGCTGGAAAGCAGATGAAGCAATAGGTGCTGGATGCTGTCCAGGACGCAGGGTAAGATACCCTGGGTGTGCCCAGGAAGGTCTAGGGATAATTTTGAAAGGAGAGAGACGTGAAGGTAATACTGAGGGTCCCACATGACCAGGTAGAGAATGAGTCAAGGAGAGCCGGGACATGAGCCAGATACAGAGATATACATAAACTTTAGTGTGGTGACATGCAAGCCCTGGTCTGAACCAAACCTTACAAGTTACTGTTTAAACATTTATAATAAAAACTGTCTAAAAATTACCAATAATGTCTCTGTGCAGCAGGAATAAGGGAGAGGCTTTTATTTTTTTTACCTCAATTACTTCTGACTCATTTTAATTTTTAAAGTAAGAATATAGAGCTTGCACAATAAAATGTTAAAAGATAAAGTGCTACCACTGTACAAATGAATCGTAAAGTTCTCTGCGAGTTCAGTAAAATTTGTTTTAAATTGGTCATGGGGCATAACAAAAATGGAGATCAAAAAGGAAAAAAAATCTTCTCAACCTTAGGTTAGGTTTGAATTTGAACCAAGCTAATTTCTAAATTCACCTAAAACAAAACACCCACTCCACTCATCCACAGCCTCTGTTTTTAATTCCTACTCTAACTGTTTGCATCTTTAGTAATCCACTGACCTTGGAACTGCTTTCTTCCGACACTTCTCCCTCATTGGTTTGCATGGGAACAGACTCTGTGCAAAACTCTGCAGAAACACACAAATACCGCCTGGAAGAGGTAAGAAAAGAAAAAAAAATAAGGAATTCAGTGCAAAAATCGGTTTTTCAAAGATTATATTGGAATTGTATCACCAAGACGATAGATACAGTGAAGCAATGACCTTAAGTAACGCGTGTGCGTATGTATACCCATGCATCTTTGGTAAGAAAGAAAGCAGAGAGGTAAGAGGGAATTTTCTCCACCTTAGGGTAGGATAGTTAGGAAAGGTTTAAGACACTGGGGTATTACACAGTTCTAGATTTCTTTCCTTTTTCTTGACTTCTGGCAGATAATGAAAATCTTCAGCCATTCATACAGGACAAACAGTGAGTTGTCAGAAAGGACACCAACCTAAGGAAAGAAGTGGGCCCAGTGTTAGGTTATAGCAGATCGTACTGTCTGCATAGTATTATAGGCCACTGAAATTGTTCGGGTTTGCTGGGTTTATAGTTTATGCTCAATATTCATGGTATATATATTTTTTATTTTTTAATATTTATTTTTGGGAGAGAGACAACATGAATGGGGTGAAGGGGAGAGAGAGACACACACACACAGAATCTGAAGCAGGCTCCAGGCTCCAAGCTGTCAGCACAGAGCCAGACGGGGCTCGAACTCATGAACCGTGAGATCATGACCTGAGCTGAAATCAGACGCTTACCCAACTGAATCACCCAAGCGCCCCTCATGGTATTTTATAACTGAAATAAGGGTACATACTAATGGTTGATCCCACTTTTTTTATTTTAAGAAAATGTGCTTAATAAGCTAAATATCAGTTAATTTACTTTGACATGAGAACAGGCTATCCTAGGGCAAGACAACAAAAAGCAATAATTTTTCCTCTAAGAATAAAATGAGTTATTGGTTAAAATTTTATGAATTACAATGTACCAAAAGGAAACTACTAAGAGTATATGTAACATTCAAATTAATTCATTAAATGTGTAATTACTGAACAATAATTACTCAAACTGACACAAATCTCCATTATAATACAGGTAGCTAATAATTTAAAACCTCTCTAATATTTTAAAAGGTTCATAGCTACAAAATCTAAAAGCTAGAAAGGTGCTTGGCACATACTATCTTTTGTGTGTATAGAGAATCTCTTTATAAATTACCAGCCTGGGAGGCTGGTAATGTGGTTCTGGTGGGAATCTGTTTCCTCATCTGTTGGGTGGGAGAAGAGTATCAAAAAAATCTACTGTGCTCACCTAATGGGGTTTTGGGGGAACCAATGTGTATTTATGTGACACGAAATGAAATGTAAACTTGGTACAGTGGAAGGTCTGTTCACTAACCCCCACTCGCTTGCCCCAGATGAACTGACATTGCCCATTCCCTGTGTGAACCATATGGGCCCAGCAAGTGAACCTGACACAGGCTGGTTCTGCCCCTCATCTGTTAACGACAGGTGTACAGAAACAAACTTGCTCTTTCTATGAAAATTAAATTGATCGCACTGGAAACACTCAGTAACCTACCTAGAGATGTTGTATGCAAGTTGCTTCACAAATGTCCTTAAGTGGTCGTTCTGCTTTACAGAAACAGATTGTATTTCACAGATGATGCATTAGGGGCACAGCTGATCAAGAAAGACACTCCAATGATTTCTGTGCCATTTCCATTTGAATGTGCCAGAAAAGAGGAACCCTCCTTCCCTCTTCTGAGCTTTCCCTCCTGGCTCCTCTCCACCCTCCACAAGTCCCGCCCCAGAGGATCCTTTCTGATCAGAAGGAGAAACAAAGCCTGTGAGCTCAGCCCTTTTCTCTTCCTTTTGGAAGCCACTTGTCCCCAGGGAGCATGCACTTTCCTCTGTTCTACTTCCTCGAAGTGAAGGCCTCTCACAATTACCTGGGACTAGGTAAGCCAGTCAGTGCTAGCAAGTTCACTTGCCTGTAAAGCCACATTCTCCGCTACAGCTTTATTAGTAACAGAGAGGACATTTTGGTCTCCTAAATGCCCCACTCTTTTATCTGATTTCTCAATTGGTAAAGAACTCAGCCAAGGGAAAAAGGGTGCTATTTACTGGGTCTCTCACAGACCTTACTATCATCTGGTGCAAGGGACTAGAGTTTTGATAAATACACATGAAGAAAAATTTGGGGAGTAAAATCAAATGCATATGGAATTTGCGAGGCTTCTGTTGGGGCAGGACTTTGGGCCTTGATCTTTAGTGAGGGAGCAACAGGCTCTAACCTTGTAGAGGTTACATCAGGCCACATGGGTTTTTACTGTCCAATACCAAGTTTACACTACTGAGGCTGAATTAGAAGCTTATAAACCACTGCCCATACTGCATTTTGCCATTAGTGATGACTGTAGTTATGGTAACTTTGTCTTCAGGTAAGAGGCTGTTTCTATAGAGACATAACAGCGTACACCAGGCACGTAAGCCTTAGGAAAGGCTTGGGGGCTTTGCTGGTGACAGCAAAGAAAAGGGCCACAGTCAGTTGGGGCGGTGGTGGCGGGCGGCGGTACTGAAAAGCTCATCTAAATGTCAGCTGTGCAAGTGGCCTCAGCATACATCGGCCACTCTGGCCTAGCAAGCAAATGCCAGCTGTGCTGGCCTCAGCAAAGGGAACAGGGCATTAGCAGGCTTGGGTGGCTTCAAAGTACAGAAGGCTGCTGCCTGACCTTGAATTATGCAGGCACAGCTTTTCCTAAGCAGGCATGGCTGAGGCAAAGATTAGACTTTAGGGAAAAGAGACTTTCTTCATACAGGCCTTTTAGATATTAATGAGTGGAACAATTATTTGCTGCACATAAGCTGCAAGGCAGTTGAATTTCAAACAGCACATGTGTTACGAAACCAGTGAAGTTCTATGTTTAAACTGTTGGTGCTCAGCTTACACAGGCGATTCAAAGGGGAAATGGAAATTAAGAGGTTTCTCACTATACTCCTAGAAGGCAGGGAGGCAGGGAATTTCTAGAGGGAGGGAGGGAACTTGAGATCTGGGGCTGCCACTACTATAAATCCCTTCAATACTGGAAAAAGAACAAGACACTTCTTTTTCTTTTTTTAATTTTTTAAATGTTTGTTTATTATTGAGACAGAGATAAACAGAGCATGAGGAGGGGAGGGGCAGAGAGAGGGAGACACAGAATCCAAAGCAGGCTCCAGGCTCTGAGCAGTCAGCACAGAGCCTGACGGGGGCTCGAACCCACGAACCATAGGATCATGACCCTGAGCCGAAGTTGGATGCTTAACTGAATGAGCCACCCAGGCGCCCCAAGGAGAAGATACTTCAAGTATTAAAGCAGAAGACAGTGTGCATTGGTTGGTTATTTTCCAGATATAGTAAAGACCCAGTTCCAAATTTAACCTCTTACTGACAGAGTTTTCCAAATTGGGTGGAAGTGTCCAAGTCATGGATCCTATACACTGGCATGGGCTAACTGGATTCCTTGGAGAAGCTCAAACGAAGAGGACCTCACCCATCTTCCTTCCCTCAGTAAGGCAGGTGGAGATAAAAGAACCTTAGAGGTTTTTTTAACATCCAGTATTGCCTGGGATAGTCACTACTTTTGCAAATAAAATCACTTTCCCATCTTTTCCAGATTTCAAATTGATTCTCGGATCCTCAGATGCCACTGTGGCTTTGCTACAGCCTTTAGTAAAAAAGAGTACTGCATTCTGGAAACATAGTTTTACTGCTCCTAGGGGCACCTGGGTAGCTCAATCGGTTGAGTATCCGACTTCGGCTCAGGTCATGATCTCACAGCTTATGGATTTGAGCTCCGTGTCAAGCTCTGTGCTGACAGCTCAGAGCCTGGGGCCTGCTTTGGATTCTGTGTCTCCCTCTCTCTCTGCCCCTCCCCCACTTATGTTCTGTCTCTCTCTCTCAAAAATAAACAAACATTTAAAAAAAATAAAAATAAAAATTACTGCTCCTGGGCAGGAGGTAGGCTTACTTTCTTAACTGGATGGCTGTGGAGACAGTGCTGAAACAATTTTGTTTAGCCTTGGAGTTCATATTAATTTATATACTACTCTGATCTATTTTAGGATCCCTGGGGGCAAAATCTATCTGGCCCATCAATTTTGCCCAAGAGAATACCCAAAAGAAGAGTGGGTGGTAGTGGGGAGCTGTCCTCTTGAAAGTGGTAGAACTGTCCTGAGACCCCCTCTGCCCTAGAGGGGAGGGACACACCCCACGTGACCTGGATTACTGCTTAAGACCAATGCACGAGGAGACAAGATCCAGCGTGGGTTAGGGGAGGAAACTGTGCTGGCTCTCGATGTTTCCTACCACGTGGGGCAATATCCCTTTACTACTGTTGGCCTTATATCCTTGACATATGTTGTCGGGGTGAAGTGACTTGTCCGGTCAATGAGCCTGAAAGGGACACTGGGCTTGCATAGTCCAGCCCCTCCCGCAGCCCCTTTCCCGTGAGGGCCCTAGTTTTGCTCTGCTCCCCCCTTCTTCTAGGAGGCAGGTCTATCCCTGACTAGTGCTGCTGGGTAAAGAAACTTGTTAAGTTCCAGAGCTGAGTATTAGGAAGCTGACTTGCTATTAGACACGAGGCAGTTCTATGTCAACTTTATTAGTAATAGAAGTGAAAATCTCATCTCCATCTACCTGCCTTACTCCCTCACCCTCTATGTCTGTGGTTCAGAACTTTGGCAGTGGAGGAAATGTTTTTTATCAGGTCCCCTTCAATTCCGACTTATATCTGGAGCTTCTCTTCAGAACGTCTCCTCTGCATCAGTCTGATTTTCCCAACTGTCCCATTATCATAACATGAATAGTAGCCTTTAACTTCATAAGCTTTTCAACTCTATTTCTAGCTACTTCCCGTGTAACCCACTATACCTCACTTCACTCAGGAAACTCTTCTTCCTATTCTCTGCACACAACCTGCTAACTTAATTTCTACCTATGTAGTCCATACCGCATTCGAAAGCCCTCCCCCTCACCACCAATCGGCATCTCTACCCTCCTAGTATCCGGTCAATTTTTATTTAGAAAAATCTTTCCTGATTAACACCATGTATTTGCCTACTTAATATATGTCATATCAACACCTATTTTTCTATTTGTTCTTTATTTTTTTTAATTTTTAAAAATTTGTTTCTAAGAGAGAGAGACAGCATGAGCAGGGGAAGGTCAGAGAGAGAGAGAGATACAGAATCTGAAGCAGGCTCCAGGCTCTGAGCTAGCTGTCAGCACAGAGCCCGACGCGGGGCTCGAATCCACGAACCGTGAGATCATGACCTGAGCCAAAGTCAGATGCTTAAACCAACTGAGCCACCCAGGCGCCCCTATTTGTTCTTTCTTTAATTTGCTCTCTTTTAGTGTGTGCGTGGTTTTGTAACTCTTCTTAACACTTTTTAAGGTGTTTCTGGAAAAAGCCTTGGTGACATTCTTGTTTGAAGCCAAGGCTTAGAGTCAGGCCTAACAGTCTACATGAGTCTTAACTCTCCTTTTGACAGTATGGAGGGAAAATAAAGAAGGCAATGCAGAAGTATATGGTTGAGCTAGGGGTTCCATTTGGGAAGTGACAAAGGGGTCGGTGTATCGGTGTTAAAAGAGTGATGAAAAGTTCAAGGCAAAGTCCACTTATGTGAAAGGATGTGGAGGGGGTGAACCAGTGGTCGTGAAGCTGTCAAAGATGACATGACAACATAAGCATTTGATTTCTGCTTCAGCACAGGATTTCACCTCAGAGCTGTCACCAGCTTGCCATCCACAGTAAGTGACTGAGAGTCATGAGCTGACAGTGCCTCAGTGCACATGGGACAGGACTTGACAAGTGTTAATGACCAAATACCAGGTAAAGCATACATCACACAGCATCTGTGCTAGGTCTTGTCTAAAAGTTGGCAAATACGGTAATGTTTTCAAGGCCTTCCAGGATCCAGCCCTCACCTGTGTCTTCCAGTGTCATCGGCCAGACCCCTGCTTCCCTTTGTTCCAGCCATAATGAACTACATACAGCTTCACAAGTACACCAGATTGTTTCCGGTTTCCATGTTTTGGCTTGTACCACTCCCTCTGCCTTTCTCTCCCAGGTACCGCCAGAGAACACCTACTCTTATAATTCAAGACTCAAGCTTCTACAAAATGTTTCCTGATCCACCTCTAGGCAGAACTGGTGATTCCTTCCTCAGTGTCACCAGCAGATCTTGTCTGAAATCCAGTACGTGATCTGTAACACGCTCCTGGCTTTACCTGCTTACATAGATGGCTCCCTTATTAGACCATCAACCCTGTAACAACAGAAACTGCTATCTCATTTATGACTGTATTCACAGTTTGCTTAGAACTATTACCTGGAATTTAACAGATATTCAATAAATGTCTATATAGGTGTGATCGAATTAATCGACTAAAGTCCTTTTTATTTAAACTGCAATAGGAGATATCAATTCAATAAATATTCACCGGGTCCCTACCACACGCCACACAGTGCTCAGCTGCAGTGCTGTAGTAGAACGAGCTTTGGCTCTGAAGGAGCAAGTCAGTATTCTTTGTCATTTATTAGCTGTGTAATCTTGGGCATTTAACTTCCTGATCTTCATTATTTTCATCCATAATATCGGCCAGGAGGAGGTGTTGTAAAGATTAAATTAAATACTATATGCATAGAAACTCAGCGAGGCATCTAGGAGTAGCCAATAGGCACTAAAAAACCAGTTATCTCCCTTCCAAGAAGTCTCAAAGGGTTTACAGACTAGTAAAAGAGGCAGAGACAAATACATAACTCTACTGTAAAACCCTGAATGCTTTATGACTGTCATAATAACAGGCCCTCCTAGAATACAGACGAAAAAGAAATTCTGCCCAGAGGGTCTGGGAGAAGGGGACAACAGGAAAGGCACAAGAAGGAAGAGCGAACAGCTGTATTCTTCCCTCCTCTTCCAAACTCTAACCAAGGGGAAAAGCATCGACCAAGGCACAAAGCCATGAAAAAGAACTATATATTTGGGAAATAGAAAATGACCTAGTAAGGCTTACAACAGATACGGGCTCACTAAAAAAGCAGCCAGAAATTGATTGGGATTAGGTTTTGAAATGGTTTATAGGATGATATCTGTAGCAAGTGGGAGCCATGAGAGCTGTTTAAGCAAAGGAGTGACACGAGTAAATATATCATTCAGAAAGCTAGTTCGGCAGTAATGTGGACGACAGACCCGAGTAAGGACAGACAACAGGCGGACAAGCTAGGAATACGCTCACAGGAAACTGTGGAATTGTAAGTCCTAAAAACAAATTCTCACTTTATAAAAAGGATGAGGTACTGAATGTCAGTGTCAATCATTTAGGCTGATGTGCTTTTTTTTTTTTTTTTTTTAATTTTTACTGTTTTATTTATTTCTAGGAGAGAGAGAGAGAGACAGTGTGAGCAGGGGAGGGTCAGAGAGAGAGGGAGTCACAGACTGAAACAGGCTCCAGGCTCTGAGCTGGCAGTCAGCACAGAGTCCGACGCGGGGCTCGAACCCATGAACCGCGAGATCATGACCTAAGCGAAAGTCGGACGCTTAACCGACTAAGCCACCCAGGCGCCCCTAGGCTGATGTGCTTTTTAAAGGGACCTCCTGAAGTAGAAAAGCAAAGAGTGACGTGATGACAGGATGGCCACTTTAAAGACCCTCGTGGAACAACTCAGGGAAGGAGCAGTGACGTCAAAAAATATACTTTTCTTCTTTTTAAGATGAAGACTCTCCCATCTCACTGCCAATACACGGATTTAAATTTTAAAAACTTACCTTTGACAGTATCCTGGGGCAATGCAAGCCCGTGAAGATGAGTCTAGACTACATTCAGTGCAAAAAACCAAAACCCTGAAAAGAGAGAAGAATCACAATGAGCCGCTTGCTCACAGCAAGATGGCCTGGGGAGCGGCAGGGCGTAGTTCTGAATTCAGGCAGCCGAGGACAAACCCAGGCTCTTCTGTCTGTCACCATAGACTGTTGGGCCAGGGGCCTAACCTCCCAAGCCTCAGCTTCCTCATTCAACATTGAGAACAACAATAGCACTTTCCTCATAGGGTTCTTTGGAAGTTTAGGTGGAATATGTATGAATCACTTAGTACAGGGCAGGGCACCGACCACATGCTTAATAAAGGCAAGTGGTTATTAAGAAGGTGAACTGAGGGGCGCCTGGGTGGCTCAGTCGGTGGAGCATGCGACTCTTGATCTCAGGGTTGGGTTTGAGCCCCATACTGGGTATAAAGATCACTTAAAATAAAAGTCAGGGGTGCCCGGGTGGCTCAGTCAGTTAAGCATCGAACTCTTGATCTCAGCTAAGGTCTTGATCTCAGGGTTGTGAGTTCAAGCACCATACTGGGCTCAATGCTGGGCATGGAGCCTACTTAAAAACAAACACGTAAAATCTTAAAAAAAAAAAAAAAAAAAGAAGAAGAAGAAGAACTGAAATACCTTCTGAAGAAACACTACAACCTATATTAAACCTTTATCACTTATTTTACTTTATTTGTTCTACCAGGAAAATGCCAAGTTGTGTCTCCAACTTCTCCATTTGACATGAGGATGTCTCATAATCGCTTCAGATTCCATGCATCCCAAAGGGCACTCTTCACCCCCTTCCTGGACCTTATTCTCCCATCTCCACTGTCTTATCAAGGGCACCATCCTCTACCCAGTTGCTTGGGTAAGAACCTCAAGTTCATCCTAGATTTCTTACCCGATCCCAGCCCTCTCACAGCCTGTCAGCAACTCTGTCACTTCTGATTCACAGTATGTGAATTCTCCATTCCCACTGCCATCATCATCCCTCACTTGTGGAAGCCCCTTAGCTGGCCCCTCTTGCTCCTCCCCAGTCCATCCCCAGTTAATGGCTGGAATGGCCTCTTCAAAAACAAATCAGATCATAGCAAGTTGCTAATAAATGCAGGGAAAATTGTATTTATTTCATGATGGAATGTCTCTCTTTCTATATATGAAATACATAATCACACATGTGAACATACAGATATACGAATATATACAAAATGAAAGCCACTTAATATTAGATAGACATTTAGAGGTCCCAAGCCAATTCCTTCCTTTTTTTTTTTTAATGTTTTATTTATTTCTGAGAGAGAGAGAGAGAGACAGCATGAGCAGGGGAGGTTCAGAGAGAGAGGGAGACACAGAATCTGAAGCAGATTCCAGGCTCTGAGCTAGCTGTCAGCATAGAGCCCGATGCGGGGCTCGAACCCACGAACCATGAGATCATGACCTGAGCCGAAGTCGGATGCTTGATGGACTGAGCCACCCAGGTGCCCTGCCAGTGCCTTCCTTTTACAATGGCAGAAACAACCTTACTCATGGGAGGTAATCAGGACTACATCTTTCCTAGGGAATATGCCAAGCTGAAAGACAGGCATATCCAATAAATTATATTCGCTTTACTAGTATCACCTCTGATATAGCATAGTGTCAATTTTCAAACTTGATTATTCAGGCTGATTCTTTTAAATTTAATTAAGATCCTGCTTAAGGTTGGACCTCTGCATGTGCAAAAGCGGCCAAAACGATGCTGTACAAGCCCAAAAGAAACTCCCCTGTGATTAGAACCCAAACTGCTGTCTGAAAGTCTGTCACTATTTGGAAGCTGAGCCCTTTGTCTCATGATCAAGAAACTTAATGTCCCTGTCCAAGAAAGCGCGTTCCATTTCCCACAGCTGCAGATTATGAGTTATACCTTTAGTCCCACATCACATCGTGGTGTTTAAGGGTGTGCTTCAGGGAGTTTTGAAAGCATCTTGCTGCCCTCTTATCTGTCATCACGTTCCCTGTGCTTATTTTTTAACAGCGTTTGAATAAATAAATCTCAGATGGAATTGAATATTGGTGATATTATCATTATTAGCCTTATCCTTCTACTACAGACACAGCTGTCCCAGCAATCTTCCTTTCTAAAAAGCAACTGTGACCTCTGAGTAGATCATTGCCCAGATTCAATCAATAGCTCCCCATTACCCTTAGGGAAAATTTCAACATCTTTCTAGCCCCATCATATCCTTCATATCCTATTCGTGGCGACTGCATGTGGTTTCCTTGCCCACGGCACATGCACTAATGTCTGCTGAGGGCCCTTTGCCTCATTCTCATCTACTCCTCTGCAAGATCTCCTGAAAGGCTTCTGTACCCTCCTTGGCTGCACTAAGTGTCCCTCCCCTGAGACACACCATATAATATTGGTAGCGTCCGAGGGTCTGATTTCCACACTCAACAGGGGCTCCTTGACAACAAGGGCTCTCTACATGTTATACATCTTTGAATTTGGTATCGAGCAGGAGTTCAACAACGAACATAAGAGGAACTGAATTCTGACATGCTCCCGATAACTCAGCACTGCAGGGTGGAGCCTCCCCATTAAACGGCACTGGGTAGAGTTGAAGAAGCTGGCTGGAACTTCCCAGATGGGTCTGGCCCTCAGGGAGGATGTCAGCTGTGTAGTTGTGTGTGATGTGTGACTCTCAGCACCTCAGAGATAGATTCGATTCTTTCATTTTTTGTCAATTGCAGATTATCAAGAGAACAAACCTAATTCTCAGCTCTCTGTTCTGATGAGTTTCTGCCCAGGCTAAACATGACTTCTTCTCTAGACTCACCAATTGTCTAAATTCTGTACCTGCTTCACAAAGTAATCCATCATTACGTATCTTATTGACAGACAAGTTTAGAAGAACATGGTGGCCACCTCAGTCCTTTGCGTGCTTGGTAGGTGGGCTCAGATGCTGGCTTATGTTCAGCAAGGGGAAAAGGAGTTGAGGTGCAGGAAGAGCAGGTGAGGGAAACTGGGCAATTTCCAAGAACTCTGGAAACCAGTTTTTGCAGAACAGCTTCCCTACTTTCCCTGCAGGGTTGTGAACCTCTGTATCAGATGCACTCATACTAAAGATCAACATAACGTTTGATTCTAAAATCAACATTTGGAATTATCTAGCTAAAGTTATCTACAGCACTATTTTCCTAAGGTGTAAGCAATGGCAAATTCCTTCAAAACCTCGTTTTGAAATGTTCAGAACTACACATAATCCTACCTCCCGATCATATGTAGCCATCTGTACCACAAACTTTTAACCGAGTCACAAGTAACACTGAAAACTACTTGGAGCATTCCAGTTTTCTCGGTCCTCTTGCAGAGAAGCCAAACTGCCTTGAGATTCACACACGCCTGGGAGGGTTTTGTGGGTCCTGGACTAGATTACTGCTAGATCTGCTAAACTGCAAGGAGGTTTCTAGAGCTCCTCCAAGTCCAGAGCCCAGTCTTACTCGTGGGACATAATCAGGCCTACATCTTTCCTAGGGAATATGGCAAGCTGAAAGACAGGCATATCCAATAAATTATATTCGCTTTACTAGTATAGCCTCTGATATGGCATAGTGTCAAACTTGATTATTCAGGCTGATTCTTTTAAATTTAATTTTAATTCTCAATGTAAAAAATTCAAGTAATGTGGATAAGAACCCTTGGTTACAATCCCTTCTCCTCGTACCCTTACCCAGGACTCATAGCTGTTATCAGTTTAATTTCAGGCGTAACACTGGGATGCAGATTATTATATACAGTTCACCTTTGAACGAACATGGGTTTGAACTGCGTGGGTTCATTTCTATGCAGATTTTTTACAGGATAGTACTATAACTGTATTTTCTCTTCCTTATGATTTTCTTACAAACATTTTCTTTTCTCTAGATTACTTTATTGTAAGAATACAGTATATAACACATAAAACATACAAAATATGTGTTAATCGACTACTTACACTATCAGTAAGGCTTCCAGTCAACAGTAGGCTATTAGTAGTTATGTTATGGGTGAATCAAAAGTTCTAGGAGGATTTTCAACTGCACAGGGGGTCAGCACCTAACCCCTGTATTGCTCAAGGGTCAAGCTTACTATAAACTTTTAACTGAGTCACAAGTAACATTGAAAACCCTGACAGCCTACGTCATCGGCAACTGGCCTAACTTCAAGCAAGATGTCCCGGAAGAGGCATCTTAAGTGAGGCAGCAGATGTGAGGGTGGAGCAAAACACCAGCAAAGGGGCTGGGAAGGTCTTTCCGGGAGGTGAGTACAGATGCCAGGAGGACTGGGGCAGACAGCAGGGTACCACGCGCTCAGCTCTGTAAGTGGGGCACCCAGCCCAAGTGGGCAAGAAGGAACCTATTTAATTAAGTAACACAAATAATAATATGAAAAGCCCAAGGGGCACAGGTGGAGGTAACTGCTACGGGCAGATGGGTCTATTTAGCTGCCAATACACAAGCGTTAATGATTGTTCCAAGATCTGGAAATGTTACCTGTGCAGTCTGGGTCACCTCTACTTAAGTTCAACACTTTGGAAGTTCTGTAAAATGTTCCAGTCTGCACATTCCTAAAAACATCCCCTTTAATCCTGAAATCTCTTCTGGCTTTTGTGTTCTCCTCCTCTTTCCCCTTCTAGTGAAGTTTCTTTAAAAAGAAGTTTATTATCCGTGGTCACAACACCTTTATCTCTCATTTACTTATTAATCATTTTAATTTGAGATCTTTCCCTCTCAATCCCATTATCAAATACAATGGATATTATTCAATTGTTTTGTTTCAACCTCTCTTTCCCATTTAAAAATCAGAATGACCTGAAAGTCTTGTCATCTGGGTGTTCCTTTCCTATCTTGATATCAAGGATATTGTAGATCTCAGGGCGCCTGGCTGGATCAGTTAGCGGAGCATGCGACGCTTATCTCGGGGTTGTGAGCTTGAGCACCACGTTAGGTGTAGAGATTACTTAAAAGTAAAATCATAAAAAAAAAAAAAAATGAGACTCCAGGTTCAGTTATTGAGCCAA